ATAATAACCAAAAATGTTCATTGTGATAAACGAAATAATAATTTGATCTAAATAATAGTTTTTTTTCTTCTTTCCGATTTGTAAAAATTCCTTACGTGATAGAAAAAAAAATGAATATTATTTTCAAAATCTGTGTAGCTGAAATATAGAAAATCCGTTATTAAAACCAAAACCACATTTATGAAGTTTAGGCTAGGCATTTATGATTATGTATATTGCTATGTTTTCAACATGTGGTTGTTTATTAACAGGATTGACAAGCTGTGGGATGTAGGGATTATGCAACACTGGGTGGAAAGGTATTTTCAAACTCAAGTTTGCACCGTAGTGACGACAAAAATAACTGGAGGTAACATGGACGTTGACTTGAAAGACATTAAAGGAGCATTTTTCATGTTAGGGATAGGTTTTTTGTGCTCTACACTCGCCATTTTTGCAGAAGTTGCTTGGAATCGTCGTTACTTTTGCAAGAAAACTCAACATGGTAAAATCTTTCACGTTAAAAACAGTGAAAAAATACGAATTCCGTTAAAATAAAGTAAAAACTATTTAAACTTAATCGTCTTGTTTTACCACAGGACAAGTTGAAAAATGTTATAATGTGTTATCTAATTAATTGGTTCAACATGGTTTGTCTAAAATTATATTTGTAACGAAAAGAACTTGAGAAACTGTAAAACAAAAGGTTTTGCATCTTGTATGTAAAACATGCAACCTTTTGAGACAGCTAGAAACATACATGAAATGATACATTATATACAATATTGTACTTGTAACAAACTTGAACATTTACCCTTTCTCACACACACTAAACAAGAAAACTTGTAAATTATTGCACTTACACTATAATTCTAACACCAACTCCAAGCACCATTTTGAAATACACGTATATATATATATATATATATAATTCTACTATAATTAAGGAAGGAGATGTTAATTTTATCCTTGATTATAAGTAAGTAAATAAGAATATTACTTCACTGTCACCCAGTAAACTCCCAATCCTAAACTGTGTTTTACTTATTATCTTTAACGTGTGAGATTTAGTTAAATAAACATATTTCTGAAGACTCTTATTGAAGGTTTTTGGTTACTTTTATTGACATCTGACTTTGCAGCACTTCTAAAGTGTTTGTTGTGGTGAATATTTTACTGAGAGTTTTCAGATCGTGACAAGAGAATTATACTCGAGTAGTTTACAACTTGAGGAAATGTAGTGCCGCCGAATTCTGATGGCTGAATATTGGTTTTATATTTCCAACTGCTAAACTCTCATGAATTCTCAATTGCCCTTCCTCTAAGTTCTCATTAACGATAGCGATGCCACAATTTGTTAAAATAAGTTGTGTGCTGCTTGATAAGTTATTATACTTCCGAGGAATACTATCTTTTATACCGCCCGACAATTACCCATTGCTAGATACATCCAAGCACGATTGTTGTCCTAAATATTAGAATACTATTGATTTCTTTAGAGCTATTGGGGTAGTGAATGAATTTACTACCAAACTAACCCGGCGAGTTAAAGACAATGTTAAGTTTTTGTATTAGGAACAAAAGCTGAAATTGAACTAGCATGTGTACATATCTAGTTTTAATGTAGAGTTTCTGTGTACCATGGTTTAGCATGGCTTGGTGGTTAGAGTGCTTGACTGGCAATCTGTGGATCGCGGGTTCGAACCCCATCACTGAACATGCTCGCCCTTTCAGCCGTGGGGACGTTATAATGTGACGGTCTATCTCATTATTCATTGGAAAAGAATTGCCAAGGAGTTGTACGATGGGTAGTGTTGACTTCTAGTCTATCACTTCAAAATTAGGGATAGCTAGAGCAAATAGCCCTCGAGTAGCTTTGCGCGAAATTCAAACTAACGAACTCTTTATACTGACCTTCCGCTACAATAGACTATTGATTTGTGTACAGAACTGTTTTTTTTATTCAGACATAGTGAATCGACTTTATACGTACATGTTTTCTAAGTTGTTGCTGCTTAAAGCCAGATTTTGCTATTAATGGAACACCTTGTTCAACCATAAAATTGTGTTCAGATTGGGGATTTAGAATTTCTAACTTAAGGATATCCGTTTTACTTAACGACGTTGGAAACAAATGAATATGGATCAACTCGGGGTACCCAGGACCATTCAAAAGGACACACGCAACAAGTCATAGTCCACCCACCCTAAGCAAAGGGCGCATCTGGTAAATACAAGAATACAAAGATCAGTGGCAAAAGCCGTCCATGTATTCCAAACAACAGTACACAAAATAATTAAGAAGAATTCGTATCTGGAAAAGCGATACAACTCACGTGTATACAAGGTACTTTTTGACATATTTCTTCAACTGTCGCATACTCCCAGTAGCTGGAGAATGAAGTGGATATTAATGCTTTTGTATACAAAGATGTATCGGTCAAGTCACCATATGTAGTATCTATTGATTTTTATATGATTGGTCTGTTGCAACAGACGCTGGGAAACTAATGACCTCATAAGTTAGATGGTTTATTTAAAGCCTTCATGGAGAAGTGGTGCGCTGTGGACATGACGGCCTTACGACAGTAACTTTTGCAATGGAATCTATGCAACAGTGCTATTGTGAAGATACAGAGTCGTCAGATATGGCATGTACGGACGTGGCAACATGGACAGTAATGAAGTAATGAAACTCCAAAATTGTTTTAATATAACATATTCAACCTCTGTATTTATTCCAACAACTATACAGAACTTACTATTTAAAAACAAGTTGTAAACTTCATAATATTAGATATACATTGAATTCTATACATACTCAGAAAATTAAAAAAATAATTTGACGCCAGCTAGAAAGTAGAAGAAGAAATATTTAATTAATACACACTTGTTATGTGGAAGTAGAATGGTGCTCCAAATGTCCTCAGATCACTCACACAGTTGTCAGCATTGACGTTTCTTGACCACTTCCCAGAACAAGAATGTACAAATACACTGCTCAAAACAATGTCCAGTTATTAGTGTATCGTAACCACTTCTGCTATGCAACACGAATATACAAATACATTGCTCAAAACCATTAAATAATTGTTATAATTTGTAATTTGCTGACCATGACAAGGCAATACCACTGTTACATGGATAAAATAATGTCAATTCTTTACGTTTAACGAAAATCAGTTATCAGATGATCAGCTATGTGATCTAAAAATGCAAATGGTGGGCCATTCAGCATATACTATATATAATATCCTCGTATAATCTGGTCTCAGACTTTACTTTGAAATAAATATGTAATTCAAGGTACTCCAAATGGTTTTTGAACCATAGCTAAACCCAAAGAAGACATATGGATGTTTAGTTAATCGGAAGGGTCATCAGACAAATGGAAGCCACTCAATTAAAGTAAGCTGTTGCGAATTGGCCAAGTGTCTCAGAATGTCTTTAGCAGAACTTGGAAGTAATTTTAAAGTAATAGTATACGGTTGTTCAAATGCCTGGTTAAGATAGAATCGTCCATAACACAACAGACCATCATCATGTATTGATTTTAGCTTTCTGCAATTGTAAGGTACCTACTTCGAAATTGAATAAGGTCTCCACAGCCGCGTCATTGTCCAGGTGATTAGAAACATACCTCACACCATTGATCTCTATGCCAGATGCCTAATGAGGTGTATTTAACTCTTAAAAAGACTAAAAAGGTTTTCCTGCAACTGATCTGAGGACATTTGGAGTAACGTTCTTCTTCCACATAACAAGAGTGTATACTAATTTTTAAAAAATAATATAGAATGTGATCCAACCTCATGTTCATGATGGTGGTGAAAGTATGGTGTGGACAAGTATAAGAATTAATGGATGTAGAATTCTCTAGATTATGTGGAATGGTATCATTAATGACACAAATTACAAAGACCATACACTCGTACAATTATCCGTAAGTTTAGCTTAATTTGTGATAACGCGAACACGCAACATGATAAACTGGTCGATGTATTTCTTGGAGAAGCAAAGATTGGCCAAATGAAGTAGCCTTCAGACTTCTCGGATTTACTGCAATCAGGTGTATGTGGATGCTCTTGTAAACATGCCACAGTTCGTAAGACTTACTCCAGACATTAAAGATACCCGAAAAGAATTATTTCAGGGAAGTGGTCAAGGATAAATGAGGACCTCATCAACACTCTGTCTTTACGATGCAACATTAGTACCAGAATGTTCTAAGTGACCATACTCCATGATGAAACAAAAGTTCGTGAGCTGTAAAGATGTGAAATCACATGTACAAATTGTTCATTTACGAATGTATATTAAATGCTCAATAATTTACATTTTGGATCCGACCTGACTTACCTAAATCCAACTTATAGATTGATATTATTATTATTAACTAACAGTGATTTTTATCTTGTCGTGGTTATAATATTACAAGTTCTGCCTATCCTCATTTAAATGTGAGTTAAGTGTCTAAATGTTATTCTCCAATATTTGTTTCTTTGTAGTTAAGCACAAAGCTACACAATGGACTATCTGTGCTCTGTCCACCATAGGTATCGAAACCTAATTTCTAGTGTTGTAATTCTGCAGACATACCACTGTGCCACTGGGGGGCTCTCCAATATTCACATGCTCTAATAATTAATTATTCATGGGCATCAGATCGATTAAAGTAGATTTTTTTTACGCGGATATAAACTTATTCTTTGTTTTTAGAGATATTTCCTTAACTTATAAATCTAAAGCACTTGAAAAGGATAGAAGAGACACTGTTAAGAATTTTTGTTAGAATTGCTAAATTAATAGGTTGTATTTTATCCGTAAGGCAGCCTTATGATAATAATATACCTTTTATAACTTATAAACATTTACATTATATAATTTAAGTAAGATAATTGTTTTATACTTTTTCAGTCTTATAGTTAATTTTTATTACCTGCATTCCCACATATCCCACATAGAAGCCTTTTGAAGCAGCATGTCTACCGATGTGGCTTTTTGTTAAACCAAACAATCAGAAACAGCATACTCGATAACACCTTTGGACCTATACCAAATAGTTCACATGGTACACAGCTATTACTTCTCAACTGCAACAATGTTGGAATGCTTTTAACAATAATTTTATATGCAATGTAAAATCTAGAAGTATAGAAAAAAATGTTATTTCTGGATGTCATACATACATACAATAGTTTTCAGATGACATCATAAGCGTCAAGAGTTATAAATGGTTATAACATGTTCAGTTGGGTCATTGCAATAATTAACACATAACAATAATTAACCCACGCTCCATGATTTACAGAAGCCCCAATATACCAATCAGGTTCCTCCATTATCCCCAATTACTTCTATAGTTACCACAGAGAGGTCTATAATCGAGAATAAACTCTATTAGTACACCCGCCTGTGGTACCTGAGCACATGGGCCCAGTTTGGTCCCGCTAACTTGTGAATAGGGGGTATGAACATAGTTTCAAAAATTGCAACCCTAGATCACAAGGAAGACTAAGATCATAAAACATGATCCAAAATTCGAGTTCAGCGACCCTGGAAACCTATCACGTCTGGGTGATCTTCTGGGCATGTTTTAGTCCCACTTTGTACCCCAAATGAATAACGGTAGGTGGCTTCACCATATATATATAAAGACACCCATCCAGGTCATCCCGAGCAACCTGCCAAGTTTAGTTCTGCTAGTTACGAAACTGTGGGAAGAGTTTAAAGACAAATTCATAAACATAATACATAAATTAATATAGGATGTATCATAAAAATTGTGTTTCTGGTCATAAGAAAAATTATGTTTCTGTTCATGGAAGCACTTGTGATTAAAAAAAAAATGTGTCAATCGACCAAAACAATGAAAAAAATACAAGACATTGAATTCGTTTATATAACTATAATGATAGATATAATATCAACAATGTGAAAAAACGAGAAAAAATCAGTGTTTCTAGAAACCTATGGAATTTTCTATAAGCATATTGTTTTAT